CACACAAACAAAATTTAAAAAAAGAAGAAAAAAAGAAGACCAAAAAACCACTAGGCTGTGCCAAAGGGAACGAGGACTTCCAACCACCTCCCACTGCGATCCAACATACTCAACTCTCATAGGTTTCTTTGAAAAGACTTTGACTCAGTCCTACAGAAATACTTCTACCACACTGCAGCTGAATAGTTCTGCAAAATATTGAGTAATAAGCAAACTGAACTGTGTATTTATAAATTAAAGTGCCACTAATCTGAGCCTCAGGCAGCAGGGACCAGAAAAAGAGAATCAAAATCACATCCCTTCTTTTCCTTTATATTTAAAAATGTCTTCTTGGGCCTGCATATGATTGTAGCTGGCTAATTTACCCATAAGAATTTCTCCTTTACCCCGGGGGGGGGGGAATCTGCAATTACAGGGTTATCTACTACAAGAACGCACACAGCATTTGCCTTCTTTATCCTATATATGATGCAAGAGGCACAGCCTCAAAAAAGGCACTATAAATTCTCCATAAACCACATCAGGAATAACTGTAAAGATCTGCTGAAAGGTCTTAAATGTTCCTGAATCTGTCCCGCATCCCTGTACCCCATCTCCCCATAGCGCTGTGCAGTTCAGCGTACAAGCTCAAACTGTTTCAGAGGAGCTGAGGGCAAATAAAGACTTTTTTTTGGCACAGGTCCTCCCTCCCCCCTGATCTCCCAGTGAATGCTTTTCACTGTTAGCTACTGAGAAGAGACTATGAAAGCTGGGAGATTGGACTTCAGAGCTTTCAAACCTTACTACTAGCTTAAGAGTCATCATTTCTTCTCTCACCTTCCCCCCCCTCCACTATCTTCTCCAAACCGTCTCTTCCCCTCCCTGTACCACAGCGAAACAAAGAAAACAATATGCAAGCACAGCACTTAAGAAAAAAATTATCATTTTTCTTCTGGCTACTCAAGAATTCTGAGCTCTTGGGACTTCTTTTATTTGCTGAGGCTATAATAAGCTTTTTATAAAAGCTTACAAGCTGATTACAAGTTTGACATGGGAACATTCAACCCCATCCTAGTAGCCTGGAGAGATCTGCCTGAATTTTCAAGACATGCTCTTTCATTAAACAATATTTTTCTTTTTGGAAGTTTTCAAGCAAACCAATTTAAAGCTGGGATTTGGCCGGGAAGAGTCTTTTCAGGACAGGACATACTCATGTTTCAGAATTCTCCCTGACTTCCCCTGCTTTTTCACCATTATTCACGGACTAAAAGAGTCCCAACAAGTTTCTCCCGTTGCCTTTTGGGGTTGAGCAGGAAGGCCGTCTGCCAGCCGCTTCTCACGGCAGGACCTCCTGCCCCGCACCATCCCATGCAGCTGGGGGCACATCCTCAACACGGTCCAAGACGCGAGTCTCGCACATCGCATTTCTGATAATTTGGGAGGCCTGCCTTCAACACACGGCCCAGAAGGATTTGTCTGACTGGCCAGTCCCCATCGGCCAAGGCAGGCTCCTGGTCCTCCGCCTGCCAGAGGGCAAACCTGAACCTTATTTAAAAAGCTTTTATCAAAAGATTAAATTAAACGCCTCCCGCCGCCAATGTGAAACAGGCTCCAAGCTGCTGCCAAAGTTTGCCCAGTTCATCCCGGTCTAAAAATAAGCCTGATGTGGGAATCAAAGTGGCCAGAAAAGATGCTACCCACTCTATTCCTTGTGCGCTATTTGTTACAGAAACCATAACCGCACCGCTCTGAAGCTCAGAAAGAGCCTTTGATCTTTATCTACACTGGGGAGAATTTCACTTTTAGAATTCGCCTTCAGATTGAGTCAGTAAAAATAGGCCACAGACCTTAAGGGCCTGCACTGCAACTTAACGATGGTTTTAATGAGGCTTTAAACCGGACCAGTAAAGCACTGCATGGTTGTCATTTTTACTCACAATATGTGAATCTAACTTCACATTCCCAGGGTATCACTACTCTTTTTTTTTCATAAAGGGTCATCCTTTGGGACTCTACTTATGTTTCCAAATTGTATCTGATGAATGCACAAGACCGAAGAACTTTCCCCTTCCTGCTGCATCTAACGTGCAAAAAGAGCCGGGTGCCTGCGGAAGAGGCAGCAGAAGAGGTTGTCCCGGCTCCGCGTGACACCTAGGCTCAAACACGGGGGAAAAAGACTCAGTGGTCCTTGAGTGGAAAGGCGCTGCAGGAGGAATTGCAGGGAGCATTTTAACTCCTTATTACACCCAGTGCTGAAGTATTTGCAATGATTATAGTCACACATCTCGTGACTCTTGCAACATGGAGTTTGTTGCAACACTTCTTTCCCCAAAAGCCTTTCCTGTCCCCACGATTAAGTACACAAATAACATTCACAGTGAAAAGTCTGTTTTCAGCTGCTTGTAGCTTTCAAAAAATTCCCCGTAGGGGCTGAAGTGTTCTAAATTTGATCTCAGCCCGGAGGCAACTTCCCCCCTCCAACCAACCAGCTTAGAAACATGCATTTGGTTACCCTTCAACAGTGGGAAAGTGAGAAAAATAGATGATTCGGCGGTTTAAGACTCTTCCTTTCACGGGTGTTCAGAGACCGCCTTGGGGAATAGGAGAGGGGAAGCACGGGGGCGGCAGGGTAGAAAAAACAAAACATGAGATGCGAGTGCTACATGGAGGGACTGAGGGAATAGCAAGGTTGGTCCAGTTGTAATCAATTAAATAACTTCCCAGACAATGTAAAACAACTCTACAAAATCAGTCCTTACAGCTCCAGAGAAGAAAATGTTCTGGGTTCAGCCGGACTCGGACGGCGAAGAGCTAGCTCTTTTAGACGATGCTTGACTGGGAAGCGGTCAAAGAGATCTTTGTGTATATATCCATATAAAATTTGGTATCTCTGATCTCTGTCATACTGTTACCAAAAAAGAAGTGAGACTAAGAAAGCTTGAATGCTACATCAGTATGGCTATCCAGCCCCCTCAGCCTCAAGTCTCTTCGGGTTATTTTCTTTTCACAGGTCGTCTTTTATTTCATGCCCATCATAGGTGGCTATTTTAAGGGGCTACAGAGAGGTGCTGAATGCTGATAAAGCAAATCCTGTATCCCTTAATCCACTGCTAAATCACTCTGCCAGGCTTCAAGGGTACCAGACAGATGGAGTGCACTAGGAAACTGCCCACAGGCTGGCTACTTCAACCCCTGCTCATCTTTAATCCAGAAAGGTTTTGTTCTGGCATTTTAATCATTGATTGACTGGGAACTTTCTTCCATGCTGGGTTAGGTAAAATATCCATATGTCAGAGGTACTGGGGAATTCGTGAGGCTGTAGATCAGAGGAGTGGTGTGAGACAGGATGTGTCTCAAGGGAACCGAGGAAGCCATAAGGAATGTAAAAAGTCACAGGGTTAAAGCCACATTAAGACAGCTGTTATGTTAATGAGAGTTCTGCTTTTCTTCTAGCTGTGGGTCATTGATTTAGAAAAACACGAACAAGGTCTTTTTCATTTTATCGTATTTTTCCACTGAAGCTAACGTAGACCAAACCATCATAGCCTAGATCCCATTCGTCTTGCTAACGGAACTTGTGTAGGAAGTTATCTTTATTATGTTTGTGCGTGGATGATTCCCAGGGCTTGATTTGGTCTTACCTGGCCCAAGTCTATATATGAAGCTGTTTTGCAAGCATTTCACTTAGTAAACATGTTAAGAAGAGAGTCACGCACCACTGAGTTTGCCTTCCAGACAAATTCATCCGTACATCTGATTTTCTCTCACAGTCATAACAAACACTTGCAAGAAATGTGGTGTGAAGTCTTCTGCAAAAACATTTAGCAGGTAAAACTGAAAAAGTCTGGACCTTTCAAGACAGATACTTAATAATAATACAGCCACGCTGCAGTAGGCATGCTTGTCTTAAAAAGTCAGAGGGATTTTTTGTATTGCTCATTTCGGTTTGCAGAGTCTGAATGCCTCAGGCTGAGCTCCAAGGGCCAGAACATAAAAACAGAGTTTCACCAAAGCAACCAAGTTCACCTGTATCCTTGGTTAGATCACAAGCTACAACGTTTTGCTTGTCACCCAGCTGCACATTTGCTTACAAACACTTGCAACTTGGACTGATTTCAACTAGACGCGCTTTTCCAAATGACTTTTAGATGTCAAGTAGTGAAAGAGCAGCAGAGGATTCTGCCTGCGGTATTAAACATTTCACAGGACGTGCTTCTGCGCCATGAAACAGAGTAAGTCCTAGTCTGAACCTGAACTCTGGGGTGCAGTTTATTCCAGAATTATTTGGCTGCTATTTGCCCGGTTTTGGACATCTGAAAATCCAGGTTCATGCTTTTTTTTTTTTTTTAAATTTAAATCAACTCCATGGTTTACTCCTCCAGCACGTTAGCTTGTTTTAGACAATTCAGATCTATGTGAAGTTGTGAAGACCTAACAGTTATTTGGGGGTTTATTTTCTTTTGAATTAAACTGACAGTGGGGATAAAAGAGCTATTACAAGGTTTAAATCACCTCAACTTCAAAAGCTAATCTAGAAGTAAACTGTAGATACTGCACCAGTAACCCTGCTCACTCGCATGGCTCTATAGACACATTGTCCTTTTTAAAATGTTTTTCTCTCCTCTGTTAATGCCTGAAAGACCCAAACAACAACAGATGAAATCAGTTATTTAACTATAAACTGGCACAACAGCTGATCTGATTATATGCACAGTGCTGTCAAATGCATAAAATAAACAAACTGGGATAACAGACCTTCTTCTCCAAAGGCTCACTATTATATTCATGGTAGGTACGGAACAATTACTGGAGAAAACACGAAACTTTTTTCAAAGCAGTTGTTGCTTTAAACAGTTGGAAAACCAACGTCCACGTACAGATGCAAAAACCCCTAAGGCTTTAAACAACATAGCTTCACATTTTCCTTCTACCCCAGGGTAGGATCACGTAAGAATATAAAAGGACCCGACGTGCTAACAAAAAAGGAAATTCCCTTTGTTAGGCAGCTTTTAAATACATACCTGGACACGAGCCTCCGTGAGTTTGGCTCTTTGCGCAAGTTCTTCCCGGGTATAAATATCAGGGTAGTGTGTCCTCTCAAAAGCTCTTTCCAGCTCTTCCAGTTGCTCTGCCGTGAAGGTTGTCCTGCTACGACGCTGCTTTCTTTTTAAAGGTAAATCTGGTTCAGAATCGATGTCAGAGCCTTCATCAGACTGGGGTGCTGATGCTCAAAAAAGAAAAAAATTAAAGACAGAAATTAGCTTTAGTTGAGGGGAAAAAAAGTGCAAAATATTGGATCAATCAATGATATCTTCTTATATGGAAAAGCTGCTTTGTCCCCATGACTCAGAACTGAGTTGGCAAAGTTCATAAAAGCAAAAAACTGAGAAATGAATCAGAGTTAAATGTTACGTTGTGCAAACGTGCTCAAATAAAGAATTGTCAAAAGTTCAACTATGATTTTAGCACCTTTTCCTGGCCCAAGAATATTTAAGGACCTCTAGCAATCTTTTTGAGTAAATGAATTATTCGATTTCTTTGTTTTAACTCCTCCAGCAGTTTGCAAGTGTTTGTAAAACTTGAGCAGTACTGCTTAGTCCCAAGCAATCAGACAAGCGATACGACCTTGTTCCTTTCCCTGAGCTAGTGAACAGATACAAATATTTGTCACACCGGTGTGCATGTTGTAACTTAAACATTCCGACTCTATAAACACATGTCCATGAGACCTCCCCTATAGATCCATCACTAAAACCTTATTGCTGAAACGGTTATGGAAGTGATTACAAAGGTATGGGGAAGAAATTTGATAATTGAAGAAATTAATTCTCATACACAATCAAATACTTCATGTCATGTGTATTATTTGTCCTACACTCTGAACAGTATCTTACACAGGTTAGTGTTAGTATATCTCAGCACATTTAAACATTCTCGCTCGTTTGCAACTTACTCACCTGTCTTAGGGCCACCTAACATAACCTTAGGACAGGCCAGACAAGCATTAATACTAAAAAAAAAAAATAAATTGAGACGCACGTTGCACAGAGAAGTCTTGTAAGAATAGCTCAGAGCAACAGTTTGACTTGACTCTTCCAGTTACTAAAGCAAGGAGGTTCCAGCATATGTGATGACCAGAGCTGAAATACAAGGACTGCGTGCTTCCTTCGCCTAAGGTTTCATCATTATTCCTCCTAACCTTGGGAGGTTTTCCAGCACAGAGCACGGCTACACGATGTGCTGATGCTCAGCCTCCAGGCAACAGTCCAGGACGTGACTGCAAAACAGCCAGGCTGTGTTGGACCAAAGGCCCCTCACACCACGCCCCGAGTTGGTACTTACGGAAAGTCGGCAAGAAACAGACCACGTACAGCATGTCCATGACCCAGGAAGGGGCTACCAACTTTTGCAATCAGCAGTTTAAAGAGAAATCAGAACCAAAACTCTTACTGGGTTTCAGGGACGTGGAGAGAGCGAGATCACACACAGCCAGCCAGCTCCTGGCATCACTGCTTGTTTCCCCTGTGCTGCCTGGCAATCAAATGAACTCCAGCTACAGCCCAGCCACGGCTGAACCCGTCGCTGTAGCTGTGAAGGCAGCAAAGCCTCTTCCAGTACCCGACCGCATTCTCTTCCTCCAACAGTAATGAACCAAAAGAGTAGACTTCCAAAGCCAGCCTTCACTTGCATCAGCTGCTGTCCCAGGCGACAAGCGTTCCTTCTTGCCTGAGTCTTCAAGGGAAACCACCTAAAGAGGGCAGACACTCCCCAGTGATGCTGAAACCGCTTGCTCAGTTGAAATACAAGCATTGCTTCTACTACTTCGATAATTCCCAATAAATTATTGCTATAGACATTGATTTAAAATAATAATCTTAACTTGATTTATTTTGAAGTAACTTAGAACAGAAAGCCAGAAAGAAATCACTGTTTCTCAAGCTCCAGCTAACCCCCCCCCACCACATTCATTTCTAGCTATCTTACATTTCCAATTTCACTCAAGCTGTTTGAACTAATAAATACACCTAATCTGTTTACTTGGTCTTACAGCATGAGAAAGACAAAGTGCTTTTTCAGACAACTCAGCTGAAGAGTTTATGAATTTCTGCATACCAAAAAAAAGAACAATTCCTGCTAGACCAGAGGCTCTCATGTGAAAGCTATCTTCATTGTCCAGACGCCATCAATATTTTGGATTCAACACACACAGGACATCAGGAGAAACTCCCATAGAGCTCAGCATCGATGCACTGTGAAAACATCCAACTCCCAGAGCGTCTTACTTGCATGGAAGTTTTGCCCCAGGTAAGGCTGGATTAAGCTGTTCTGGTTCTTGAGAATATTGTCCCCGAGAACAAAGGGGAATCAGCACAAACATCCTATCCCAAACAGTTCAAGTTCATTCCTTATTAAACAGGCAATCTAGGGTGTTCCCAAAATGAACATAACACATTGTCTGATAGAATATATATAATATTATAAATCCCAAATCTTCTCGGTTCGGGTCCCAAGCGAATCAGTGACACCTGCCTTCCTCAGCGACTGCCAAGTTACAACCCTCCAGGATGGCTTCATGCTGCTGTTCGAGAATAAAAAGAAACATAGAATATTTAAAGTATAGTTTCCCTGTGTTAGCCTCAGATACAAATCACCCACCTTAAGCAGAACAGCTACTGCTGACAAGCTAGAGCAGCGGAGGAGAGCACACCAGCCATGCCAACAGGGTCACACCGGCTAGCACCGCGCTCTGACCATACCCTCCAGAGCTCAGGAAGGTCCCTTTCAGAGACAACTTCGCTGACAAAAAGTTGCCTTCAATTGTGTACGATGAGTTTGGGTGGGGGAAGTCAAATCCTCAGATCTCAGGAACTCTTTCAATGCTCTTTCAGATTCTACAATGTATGTATGGAACTTCTTCAAACATCTACATATATGCCTATAAAAAGCCAGCTTAAACTGTGCAATTTACAGCGGATATTTATCGCTAAATTTCTGAAGGGAATTCCCTGGAAGTATCAGGAGGCCTATAATGATCTTTCCAAAAGTGTTTTATAAAGACTTAGCAAAATCTTGTGATGTTTCCCTGCACCTTGCATTCATGCAGCAATGAGAATGCAGAACTGAAACACTGACTTAACTTCATTTTAGCTTTACATTTCATTAAGCAGTATATGAAAGGCACAAAGGTAAACCAGTCAGAAAAAAATGAACAAAAGTATCTAAGAGTCCAGGACAATATGTCTAATCAAGTGCAAACATTTAGAGAGAAAGTATTAAAGTTCCCTGCACCTTGCATTCATGCAGCAATGAGAATGCAGAACTGAAACACTGACTTAACTTCATTTTAGCTTTACATTTCATTAAGCAGTATATGAAAGGCACAAAGGTAAACCAGTCAGAAAAAAATGAACAAAAGTATCTAAGAGTCCAGGACAATATGTCTAATCAAGTGCAAACATTTAGAGAGAAAGTATTAAAATTAAAGCAGGGAGAAAACCTTTATCAAATGAAATGGCTTTCGTATCTATCTGATTTCATCGGTGTTACCCTTCGCCAGGCCTGGCTGCTGTGTGCAGCTTTATTGAAAACATTGAGTTCCTTTGTCTTGTCTGATCTGCAACATTAAGATCAGACAAATGTAATCCCAAATGATAGCTACATGTCTGTACTACAAACTGCACTATTTATTTCTTACAAAGTCTTCTGAAATATTATTAGTGTCAAGTTTTCTTATTTTTTCCTATTAAAGTACCATTATTAGATTTTTGTATAGGCGAGAAGCCAATCAGAGTATTGGCTAAGCACATAAACTGGACACACCTCAGCCTTTAAAAAAGCAGTATTTATTTTATATATGCTCAATAGCCATAGGGTATTGCCCTTTTGCTAAGCAGTATCTCGCTAATAGATCCATTGACTTCCATGATATAAAAAGATACTATTCAGCACAGGTAAAGGTGGTCAGATTTTAGCTGGGTTATTTCTATCTCCATCACCTCCGCAGACACACAAGATGCATATCGCTAACCTTTACGGTTGTCCTAATGATCTTCATACTCCAACTCCTCGAGCTATAAATAGGAGAAAGAAGGAGACTGACCAGCGTCCTGGGAGATCCCCGGCCAGACCCCTTGGGATCACCAGTACCCCCCCTTACTGCACAGCTCAAAATGGGAGAGGCAGCCAAAAGCACTACCAGTAGCTGAGCCATGAAGTTTAATTAAAGAAGGAATTACAGAATTAAAGAGCAATTATTTGTCCCTTAACCCCTTGTGACCTGTCTGGTGGCCTGAGGAAATGCTGCATGCTGGTTATCACCACGATACGCAAAAAACCTCTGCCCAGTGTCGTAGGCATTCGGTCACCTGGAGCTCTGCAACCATCCCTTTTCCAAACACCATAAATAGACACGTTGGGGCGAAAACCGAACAACAAAATGACGCACAAGAGGTCATCCTGTGGGTTGTTCTTCCTCTCAGCAAGACATTTCATTTGAATAATTAAATAACAAAAACATGACAACCATTTAAAACCCATACATGACGGCTGCAGCACGGCGCACCTGACGAAGGCAGGCAGAGGGGTTATCTTTCTGCGACCTGCGAAGGCACAACTTCTCTGGCAAGCCTTCAGTCACTGTGACTTTTTTTTAATAAAATATTACACAGCCTCTTCCTCTGAGCATAACAGCCTGGGGTCTGCCCTAGATAAAATCTGTCTAGCCGCGGATCTCACTAAAGACAGACCAAAAAAAAACCCCAAATGTACCAAAGGCCAGGGAGGGTTCTGGTGGCGGTTTTATTTGCTAGCTACCCTCCCCGCATCTTCCCGTATCTTTCTTTATGCAAGATTAATTTCGCAGGCTCTGCCCCTCGTGCCACGTCTCTACTACTTCAGGCTGCGGCCAGGGGCATCCCCAGCTTTGGGGCCAACCGGGGCGTTCTGCAGCGGGTACCGTGGGGCTGCTGACGGCTGCCTGATCCCCGCAGCCTTTCACGCCCAGAGAGATGCGAGTGACCTCCCTCGTGTTTACTCGGGTGCAGGCGAGGAGGAGTGCAGCAGGGCCGCCGCCCCCACACAAACCCCGCAGTAAATGACAAATGACACTTTCTCTTTGTGATCTTTGGGATTTTTGTTGACTTATTTGATGGCTTTTGTTGGGTCCTAAGAAATGGCCTGTGGCTGAGGCCCATTCGACCGATTTCCACGCTCCATCTGTGGTATCCA